AGCAAAGTATGTGTTCATGTTTAATCTGCTCAAAGGATCACTCCAAGAATTGAGTCCAGATTGAGAAAATTGCCTTAATCAGAAGCCAAATGCAAGTTTTGGCTGCCTCAGTGGCCTTTTGCTAAGCAGTATTCAAATGCCTCTAATGTAACCATTGAAATGGATGCTCAATGCTTCGTTTGAATACTGCTTCAATCCACAGGGAACCCCGCAAAAGGCAAAAAATCCTAAACCGGCAGGCAACCTTGCACAGGAAAGCTACCAGGACTGAAACTGAAATGTCTGACTGGCTCAGACCTCATGCTGAAAAAAATCAAATGTCTTTATCTAGGAGGCTGGCAATATTGTATTTAACAGCTAAAAATCATTTCCTCAGCCAAAAATACCCTCAAATTATTAAAAATTTTACACATTCCAGAGGAAAAAACAAGCTCAGAGACAAAACCCTAGTCATGAATTGTGATAAATCCTAGGAAGACGAGGGAGCTGAGAGAAGGAACATGGAGTGAGCAGTGAGGATGGGAGTACCATTTTATCAGCGAATCAGATAAGACCGCTGGCTGAGAGAATGACGTGTAACGTGTAGGAGCTCCCTGTCCCTCACATAAAGGCTCCCCTAGCCAGGGTAACACTGATGCACGATGGGTTCTCAGGGTGGACGATACAGAGCTCTCCTAACAGTACACCAGGCCCTACCTCCTCACTTCCTGGGGGACAGTCTGTTCTGTGATCCTAACCTTCTCCGGAATGTTACAGGGTTTCTAAGGCCCGTCTTTCACTTTCCTCCCCTACGCATCCTAAATTTTCTCATAAAGTATCTGGTGACACAGAACTAGGCAAAGTAGCACTGGGCTTCAATGACCATATTTTCCCATTATCCCGGAATACAGGCTATTTAATATTGAAGCTCAAAGTAACTAGATCCACTCACTGTGTTCCATTCTGTAGGTTTAATCTCTTGTCCAGCTTACTCTCGGTGACATCACCGTTTTAGAGACTGCCTTTGTTCTAGCCGTGACGAACAAAATAGAAACAGAGGCATGGGACAGACTGACAGCTGTTAAGAGGGTCAGGGGACTAGATGAAAGGTGAAGGGATTAAGCAAAAAACAAAACAAAAAACATATATACTGTGATATCCAGAGGAAAAAGGGGGGGGCCTAGGTGGAGGTGGGCAAAGGGAGGGGAAATGGGAAGGGAAAGAGACTGTTTGGGGCCATGGGCACAAGACGCAGTGTGCAGATTATGTTTTATTGAGTTATACACTTGAAATCTGCATGGTTTTGTGTACCAATGTCACCCCAATAAATTCAATAAAATAAGTAACCCAGGATTTTGAAGTTTCAATTCAAGTAGCCTCTTAGGAGATCTCAGACTATGTATATAGTCCATATAGAGTGAAAGATCCCAGGTGAAGTCATTGCCAGGATCCCAGCAGCTTCCTGTTTCGTGTGTTTGATGACAGATGCGTGTGCTGTGGAATATTGCTGAAACACAGTATACTTGGTACATTTTCAGCGTTCTTCATGTACTTTCTTGCTCACTTCCATTTTCCTACTTGACTCCCAATATGTTGTGCAGTAATTTGGTGCCACTAAGTGTTTTTGACTGAAGTTTTGTGCAGGTAACCGCTCCCCTCCCCACCATCCTTTAATCCACTTGTTCGTGGTTCTACTGCACTTGAAGTTATTTCCAATCTCTACTCCTGGACACTTCTGACCGCTCTGTAGTTTGTCACCAACGCCTTCATGAATCTTTAGAGATCATTCATTTGCTCACTTGTTCAGTGCCTAATGAGCCCCTGAGCTATGGGAATACAAAAATGATTGGCATATTGCTCGTTATTCTGCAGCCTCAAGGATCTTACAGTCTCTGGTGGGAGCACACAGGTAAACAGACAAGAACAAGTCACTATGACAGGTACTATGAATTGACATATGGACAAGAAGGGAGGGACTCGGTGAGCCTTGACAGCTTAAGAAGTATGGCACAGAATAATGACATCCTAGCTGCATCTGAGCACCTGAGAGGGGCTGCCAGGGCTTTCTCAATGGGTGAACAGCTCATGCAAATGTGCGGGGTCTGAGGAGCTCACTGACTGGAGTGCAGCACTGGGGGGGGGGGGGGGGGGGGATAGGAATGGGAAAAAATCAGGGACAAGGTCTAGAGGAATCTGTTAAAAGTTACTTAGCAGCAAAATGTAGGTTAACTGAACAGAGAAAAGAAAGATGACTGTAATGGATTGGAAAACATTAAAACAAGCCCACAGTGATAGCAAACAGACAAGAAGAAAAACATGTCCTTTTGATACCATTAGTGATGATTATTCCATCAACTTCAGATGCTGACAGTTGGTAATTAAAGAGACAAGCTAAGCATTTATATTACTTCTTCAGAAGGAAGTATAGTTCATGGTCAGATGATGAGGGTGAGGTCTTCCTTATAGGAAAACACCAGCTAAAATGCATAAAAGAAATGCCAAGTCTAGAAAATCACTCTTTTGTAACCCACAGTAACATAACGAATTTGGATCTCAGATTCCAGCCTCCAAAACCAAGGAAACTCATTTCTATTGTTAAGCCACCCATCCTGTGGTGCAAACTAAAACAAATTTGGCCCACTTCACAAATTACCAGCCTAGCCCTGAGGCATCCGAATATAAAATGTTTAAATGCATTTATTCGTTCAACATTTGAGCCCCTATGATGGCCTGAACACTGCTGGCCTGAACACTGCACATATGTTGACTCAAGTCTTCACCATACAACCCAATTTTATTCTCTTCTAACAACCCAATTCTAATTTTTCCAACCATTTCCTGCAAGACAGATTTATGTGGCATTTGGTTATCTGATGCTGCTGCTCCTGAGTAAAGGAAAATGATCCTTGTATCCTTCTCAACTCTAGCTAGACTTGTTTTAAAAATTCTTATACCTGGACCAACCCCTCTCCCCCCAGCCCCCAATACTGATTCAGTTGGTATTTGGTGGAACTCTGGCAGTATAGTTCTTTAAGCTTCCCAGATAATTCTAATGTGCAACCAAGGTTTAATACTGTTATTCTAGTCTGAATGGGCCTTGAAGGTCACCTTCTTTCCCACACAATTCACAAACTATCAGCACTGGCATCACCTGGAAGTTTATTAGAAATGCAGAATCTCAGGTTCCAATCTAGACTACTGAATCAAAATTCAGTATTTGAATAGAATTCCCCATGCAATTCAGATGAACTAAAAAAATTTGAGAAGCACTAGATTTCCACTAGAATCACTCAGAAAGCTTGTCGAAAACAAGACTACCTGGCTTCTTGCCAGAATCACAGAATCTCAATCTCTGATAAGAGCATGGGAATTAAAATTTTATATATTGTTATAGAGGTCACACAAGGACCGAGGCTTGGGAATCATTCATCTAGGCCAATGTATACATCCCCTCAACTACCCAGCCTCTAAGTCCTTTTTGAAAATGAAAAATATAACAGAGATATAGGTTTTTATTTTACCATCATGCATGCAAGTTTATAACTATTTATACTGTCTAGGAACAAAGAAATAATTGCATTATTACCGGGGTGCCAAATTAGCAAGTAAGACAGCCAGTTACTGATTGCTTTTGGGAGGTTATTTTCACAGAACACAGCAACAGTTTCCAAATTATACTTCCAGGAATTCTGAGACCAGGCAAGATGATAACATTCTAACAGTTACAGGAATCTCCGTCTTACTAAGAAAGAAAGACTAATATTCTGGTGACAGGTGTCAAGCAAGCACCACATCCTATCCTTCTCTCCTTTTGTGGATGCGGGGGGAAGGGGCCATCCCCTTCACCTCTTTTTGAGATTTCTTGTTAACTCTGGAGACCTGCAATTCTAAGGCCTGTCTCTGGAGCTTCATTAGTTAACATGAAGAGCAAAAAGCAGGCCTAGTGCAATAATAATAGTGTACCCCACCACTGTCACCACCAAAAGAGAATCCCAACCTCCCAAAGTAGTCACAGTTGAACTGCACAGTGTCTTGGACTTCTGGTAAACAATACAGGCAGGAAGAGGGATACACAGATGAAACCAGGTTGATCATAAATTAATAATTAACGTAGCTAGGTGTAGATAGGTGCATAGGGTCCATGGATCATCTTCTTAACTTCTGTGCATGTCTGAAAACGTCCATAATAAAGAGCAAAAAAGTTTAAAAGAAACACAAAGCAGACCGATAGGGCTCTATTTTCCCATTAGGCAAAAATGAGGACCATGGTGAGATTTTACTTTTGAGGCAAAATAAGCAGCATCTAGCATTAATCTTCCACACACATAAGGCAACACCTAGAACAAAAAAGAAAGCATCCAAAGTAATATCTTTCCGTTTTTGTTTTCCTCTTCTTTATAAAAGGTACTAATGATGAAATAAAGACCGGACAAAACTTTGGTCATACCCTCACCTTCAGTGCATGCATCCTGTTACCATGTATTTGCCAGCAATCCCTTTACTTCTACCATTCCCACCCTCGGGAAGGTCCCTCCAGGTCCCCTCCATCGCTGAGAGGTAGGCATATTCTCCCTGAGCTTTCTTAAGCCATTTCTATCTACTTTTCCAGGCCCATTCCAAACATATTTTACTATATTTTTACTCATTCCTTTACTATATTTTTGCTCCAACTCCCCTGCCTAGCAGACCCTCCCTACAACTCTAAGTCGAAGCCTCCACACAACTCAGAGTGAGGTCTTCCATAAGGGAAGGGAAGTTAGGGGGAGGGCAAGTACACCAGGTAGACACAGTCCTACTTCCCCGCCCTTAAGGATGAGGGCCCCGCTCAGCTTTTACACCCGGTGGAAATCAGTCTTGGAGATCCAGAACAGACTCTGCCCACCCCTGTCTCCATACCCCAACAGAGTCTTGAGAGTCCCCTATACTGGAGACGGAAGCCTATTTCTTTGGGTATTCAAAGGCAGTAGCAAAGAAGGAAAAGCAAGTTCTTCATTAGTTAACATGAAGAGCAAAAAAAAAAAAAATATATGGAGGTGTGAAATGAAGTAGACACAAGCTCACGTGTCAGAAATACCTTTCCCCAGCAAACTCACTATAGCATTCTGGTCATGTGTCATAAATTGATAAGGGGAATTGGAAAAGATGCCTAGATTCTATGAGTCTAGTCCCCACCCTCATCTGGAGCCATGGCATAATGACAGCGACCACATGTCCACACATACCAGCCCACCCATCAGTCTGACAGCCAATGGGATTCTTGGAAGGCCCCAGCCTTGGAAGGTAGGTGTGTGTCTTGCACTGGCAGGGGGTGTTGCGTCCACAGGGTGTTCTGGAGGTCCTTGTTGAACAGGAAGCCAACTGGGGCTGATAACAACCTGGACAAAATTCAATTAGTGAGGCACGGTGCAGAGCTTGATGAAGGCTCTCCAATGGAAGGGCCCAGAGCCAGGAGGAGACACACGCCGGAATAGAACACACGCCATACTGCTTCTCGCCCTAAACCTTGTCCGTGCCAGCAGTCAAGGGCCAGTATGCTGCATATCCAGCAGGATAGCATGGACCCTTGTCCAGTGCCCTGGCTAGGGACTCCCGGGCCATTGAACAATCAAGTTCTGGCTGATGGCCAGTACCATGGGCACTAGCTCCATTTCACAGTAGCAATCCTGCCATGTATGGTATGCATGGCCACCGTGAACACAAAGCCCGCTCAAGTCAAAGGCTCTGAAGGAGCAGAGCTTAAAGATGCACGGGTCCTCTTGGAGAAGGTCTCATGAATGTCCATGTTAAAGACAGGCAGGAAAGGCCAGAGCCAAGAGCAGGGCTCAGGCACATAGATAAAGGCAGTGCACATCTGGAGCGTGTGTGCTTAACAGATAAACAACAGGTGTGGGATCCTAGAACCTGGGACACTAACGTAAAAAAGCAAGGCCCTGGGGAGGCAAAAGAACATGATCCTAAATGCCATGTTCTTGGAACCGGAAGTTCACAGGGAGAAAGTGCACAGAGGCCCACGTGAAGAGAAGGCAGCCAGCCAAACACCCGTGGTCCAGCAGGAGGTAGTCGGGAGACTTGTGCAGAGATTACTTGGACTTGTTGGATCCAGGTTCAGGGGCCTCCACTGGCTGCTTCGCTGGGCCTTGCCTGCCCTCCTTTCCTTTCTCCTTTCCTTTCTCCTTCCCTTTCTCTGCACGGGCCCCTTCACTCAGAAGGTAGTACTGCAGGGGATTGGGCCACAGTTCCTCGTTGATAATCTCCACGATCTTGTCGGACTCGATGGAGGTGTGGTTCTCGAACCACCCAAAGAAGCTGGGGCTGTGGTCCGCCGGGCTCCCCTGGCTCAGGGACTCGAGGGCCTGCCCCGGGAGCCACTGGATTGGAGTCGAACGAGACACCACCTGACCCGAGGGGCCGCACCCGTATTCCTTGATGAGCACCTTGTTTTGGAAGTAGGGGTTGCGCTCGAAGTAGAACTTGATCTTGTAGCCCAGCCTGGCCAGGCCGAGCTCTTCCACCTCCAGGCTGTTCAGGTAGCCCAGCACTTCTCTGTCTCTGGCGGTCAGGAAGGAGGAGAGCTGCGGGTGGTTCTGCAGAGCGCGCGCCCAGAAGCCGGGCACGCTCCGGATGAGGAGGCTCCTGCGCTCCAAGTGCTGCAGCCGCAGCTGCCCAAACTTGCGGCAGAGGCGAAGGTAGGCCCTGTCGGCCTGCGCGTTCATGGACTCCAGCTTCTGCTGGACGCTCTCCAGCGTAGCCATGCCGCCATCCGTCGTCGTCGTCGTCGTCGTCGTCGTCGCCGTCGTCGTCGCCGCCGCCAGAGTCCCTGCCCCTGCATCCTCCTCTTCCTCCTCCTCCTCCTCCTCCTCCAGCGTCGGTTCCTCTTCCTCCGGGGCAGACGCACACTCCCCGGCGGCGGGGTCTCTGGTCTTGGGCTTCCCACCAGCGACGGCCGGAGGGCCCTTGCCCGCCGGGGCCTTCTTCCCCGCGCGTCCGCGCAGCAGGTTTCGGACGCGGGGGCCGTTCCTCAGCCTCCCCACCGCGCCCGCGGTGCCCAGGAAGACGGAGTCCGCCGCCAGGCGCTCCGACAGGGAGGAGGCCCTGCCCAGGCCCAGGCCGAGCCTGGCGGCGGCCTGCCCGCGCTCCCCCGCCGCCCGCAGCGCGAGGCCACAGTCCAGCGGGACCCGGGAGGGGTCCTCCTCCGGGCCCGGGAGCGCGGCGCCTTCCAGGCCGAGGCCGCCCCACCCCGCGCCGGCCTGCACCTGTGCCGCCGCCGCCGGCGCGTCCTCCCCGGGCCGCCGGCCCTCCGGGGGGTCCTGCGGGGGGTCCGGAGGCTCCGGGGCGGCGCGCGCGCGGCCTCTGCCCCGGCCTCTGCCCCGGCCCTTGGCGCGGGAGGACTTGCGGCCCCGACTTCGGCCGCTCATGGCGGTGGCGGCCGTGGCTGACGCGGCTTCAAAGCCGCCACGCTCTGGCCGGCCCGGTCGCCTCAGGCGCCAGCTCGCCGTCCCAAGCGGAGGGCCTCGCCATGGCAACCGCCGACGTCACGACTGTGGGACCAGAGGTCGCGCGAGGGCCGCCGCGCGCAGTGATTGGCTCCGCCGCCGCCGCCGCAGCTGCGCAGGAGCCCACCCCCGCGGGCGCCCCGACCCGTCTGCCCCGAGTGTAGCTCCCTGCGCTCCAGCGAGGCGGGTGTTTCCCTTTAAATGTCTCCCGGGGCCTCGGGGTCCCGGAGAAACACGTGTCACTCCTCACACACTAGCCATCCCGAAGGGAGCAGCCTGTCTGTCCGGTTATCTACTTTCTGGACTAAACACCTTCGCCAAAACCGGTGTGGTTCAGTGGGTAGAGCATCAGCCTGCGGACTGAAAGGTCCCAGGTTCGATTCCGGTCAAAGGCATGTACCTTGCTTGGGGGAACATATCCAGGGGGGGGGGGGGGGGGTGTGCAGGAAGCAGCTGATCGATGTTTCTAACTATCTCTCTCCCTCTCTGTAAAAAGTCAATAAGATATATTATAAAAAACAAACTAAACACCTTTAGTTTCTCCTATTATTGCCCATGACATCTATCATGAATGATGCAACTGCTATTGGCCTCCATGCCTCATTGGAAAGCCTCCAGGGCATGGCAAGGGGAGTAGCAGAATGCCAGGCCACAGAGCGACTGGATACATTGGTGGGATGCCAATAGTAATTATAAGAATAATAGCAACTAGTGTTTTGTGAGTATCATGAGTTAGGCACTTTACTAAGTGCTTCATATGCATTATATCAGTATGTGAAGGAGGTGTGGTTATCATTCTCGTTTTCCAGGTGAGAACACTGTGGCTGAGGGACGCCAAGGAACACATTAAAGTTGATGTAGACAGGGGAACGCAGGAATTATTCTGATACAGGCAGACTTGACTTTAAGACATGCCAATACGAATGACCTCTAAACCTCTCAAATGCTGTACAATAGCCTGCAAAGCGCTACATGATGTAGCAAGTTCAGTCCCCACCACTCCCCTACCTCTCTGACCCCTTCCAGCAGTCTCCTCACTGCTCTCAAACTCCAGCTAAGCTCCTGCCTCCTTTGCACTGCTCTTCTTTTGCCTAAAATGCTCTTCACTCAGATATGGTCAGTCACCTTAGCTGGCTACCTTCACACTTTGCTTCAATGTCACCTTCTCAATGACTAGCCACTGTAAAATGACCACCCATCCCCATCCCTCTTACCCTGCTCTACTTTTTTTCATAGCAGTTATCACCTTCCAATACACTCTACCAATTATTTTATATATATATATATATATATATATATATATATATATATATATATATATATTTCTTTATTGATTTCAGAGAGAAGGAGAGAGAGATAGAAACATCAATGATAAGAGAGAATCCTTGGTCAGCTGCCTCCTGCACACCCCATATTGGGGATTGAGCCCGAAACCCAGGCATATGTTCTTGGCCAGAATCGAACCTAGGACCCTTCAGTCCGCAGGCTGACTCTATTCATTGAGCCAAACCAGCTAGGGCCACTATACCAATTATTATGTTTATTAGCTATCTCTCTTCTATAATAGAATGTCAGCTCCATGGGGACAGGGATCTTTGTGTGTGTGTGTGTGTGTGTGTGTGTGTGTGTGTTTGTTGTTCATATGTGTCTACAACAATATCTGATACATGAAGAATATTCATTGAACAATCATTGAAAAAAAACAAAGAATTCTTGAAAAAGGGTTTATACAGTATTGATACATTGATTGTCTGAAATTCATAGTGCCCCTTTTGTCCCCACAGAAGCTATGTTATCAATGGTTATATACTCAGGTCAACACTGGAAACCTATTAAACTCATAATTTAGGGGAAAAAAACTATATATCTTTTGTTAAGGATACCATTCAGGGACAGTTGTTAGGTGAAAATTTTAAATGATAAATTTTAAAAATTGAATTAGGGGATTAACCCAAGGATTACCTTAAGTTCCTTTTGAAGGCCCTTTTATAATCACTCCCTTCCAAAGCCTTCCTGACCTTCCCAGACCATAATAAGCAGCTCCGTTCTTGATCTCACAGGGAATTCATTAACCGGAATACTCATTTGGCAATGAGACATGCAGTTTTGTGCCAGTCCTTGTACAAAATTGCCCCTGAAGCTGAATAACCGCAGTCTGGAACGCTCTGTAAATCTCAGAAACATTTAAAACATCAACTGACGCCGTCACATCCTTTTATAAACGGGAAAAAAAACGGATAGGTTGGCCCGCTTCTCAGAGCACTCACAGTTTAACCAGCCTCTGCTGTCCAGAGCCTTAATCCAGCATCAGCATCTGCGCCATTTAACACCCGCCCAGGGCTAAGCCACTGCAGGATTAGCATGGGCTGGCCCACAGCAAGACAAGGTTTACCATACAATCTGCCTTGAGCCTTGTTCATCACGCCAGAGAGATAAGCATCTCAGTATCTAGCATGGGCCTTGCACATTTTAGTCCTTATAATGAAAGTTCACTTTTATTTTAGACTTTATACAGCGCCATCTTCTAATCTAATTAATCCCCACAACCACTCCTATGGGCTGCGGTTAAAATTTGGTTACTGCTATATAAGAAGGTTCTACACTTTTCCCAAGGTCACACAGCTAATCAATGGTTTTAGTCTAAGCAATTCTACTGCAGCTCACAGGCTCTCAACCCCAAATCCATCACGTAAAATTATTGTTAGAGAGATTAAAATACCAAACTCTCCCTAGTGTGTAAAAATACCTTTCAGTTTTAAAAAATTATATATATAGAAGTATGCATACACATGCATACACACATATATTTATATGCATACAAACATATACATCAGTTAGTCATGAATCATTTTTCCATGCGGTATATACCTGCTATGGTAATATTCAACATGGGTGAGTTTCGTTTTAACAGTTCAACAGTTTGGGAATAAAGGCTCTACCTCCATTTGCACTGCATTTGTCATAAACATTTTGTGAATAGTATGAGAAAAATCCAATTTACTATCATGAACTCATAAAACTGAAGGTGTTTTGACCTTTTCCCAATAACTAGAAGCCTGACTCTATAATATGAGCATTTAGTTGATTCTTTTATTATTATTTTTTTTATCCTCACCCAAGAATATGTTTTTATGGAGAGAGAGAAAGACATCAATCGGTTGCCTTCCATACACACCCCAACTCAGGACCAAACTCCCAACCTAGGTATGTGCCCTGACTGTGAATCGAACCCACAGCCTTTTGGTGTTCAGGCCCATGCTCCAAACAAATGAGCCATCAGACCAGGGCGAATTGATTCTTATATATGTGGTATTTCATCAACAGCAAATGCTAAATAGTCATAAAAACGCTTTTCAAAATATTAGGATAACTAGTCTTTACTTTTGTTGTCTGAAAATTGTACATACTTCCTCCCTTCCTTTTAAGATCTGTTTCCCTTGAGTCCTAGAAATCAGCAACTGGGGGAAAGACATTCCAGTTATCCAGCCTATTCCCCAGCCAAGAGAATAATATTCCCCACAGTCTCTCTGGTAGAGCTTTAAGATCCCAGACTTGACATTTTCAGGGCTTTTCTCTCTCCCCAAGGAGGCAGTTCAGTCTAGTATATGACAGTGAGAATTGCTTACTATAGGGCATTTTGCCAACCAACCCTCCTAGGTTATGGAGGATCATGGAAAAGAATGGGGTTTCATAGAGAATATTTTCAAAGCCAAGGAGGAAAAGAAAAATCTGCCTTTTATGGTAAATTTCAAAAACTACTTGAACTTAAAATTTTGAGAAATGTGCCTAGTTTTCCCAGTTCCCTCCAAAAGGGCAAAATTTTGTAGAACACCTAAGTCATTTGGTTTATACTATGTAAGTAGCTGTAAGGTCATTTAAAATATTAACAGATGTATTCTTCCTTTGTACCATACAACATTTTCACCATTAAAATTAGATCTCTAGCCCTAACCGGTTTTGCTCAGTGGATAGAGCATCGGCCTGTGAACTGAAAGGTCCCAGGTTTGATTCCGGTCAAGGGCATGTACCTTGGTTGTGGGCACATCCCCAATAGGAGATGTGCAGGAGGTAGCTGATTGATGTTTCTCTCTCATCACTGTTTCTAACTCTCTATCCTTCTCTCTTCTTCTATGTAAAAAAAAAAAAAAAAAAAAAAAAAAAAAAAAAAAAATCAATAAAATATATTTTTTAAATTTTTTTTAATTAGATCTCTAGCCTGAGGCTTTTGTCCTAGAGAAGGGAATATACCAAAGAACCCAGCAGAATTCAGCAAGTCATAGTCTTCACTTTGAAATTCAAAACAGGCTATTGAGAGGGGAAGATATAATAACATTGAAGAAGGGGGGTAATTTTAGCTCATCAAAGGCAGATCCAGGGGCAATAAGATCATAGAGTTTATAACTTAAACCACAGTGGAAGAAAAATGTGTGAGGATATACAAGCCATATCTCCAGCACACAAAGAGAAAAGCAGAATCTTTTCTGACCTGGGTTGAGGAGCTTGGGAAAAATTTAAAGAGTGTATAGTTGGTACAGGATCTTGAGAAGAGATTCTCAAAATTACTCCTCCAGGGGTCAAAATCCTTGGAGAGTTGGCAGGAACCATTCTCTCTGGAGAAGGTAGAGAGCTGAGAAGGCTGGTTCCCAACTTGAAATTCAGACAAGACATCTTCTCAGAGGGCCTCGTTCTACCACAGGGCAGCCAGCAGAGTACAAACGGAATGGCCTGTCCCACCCTCCATCTACCCTACGTGCAGTCTCTCAAGGCCCCAGAATGAAGTGCAAGAGCGGCTAGCGTTCTCCATGTTTAGCAGACAGAGGCCAGGAGGATGGCTAAGAACATCTGGGGGATCCAAATAGCCTCTCATGCTCAACCAGAAAAAATAACAGACTAAAGGACTTGCAAGAAACCATGAGGGGCTCATTGCATTAGTGGACACTGTGGGAGGAGAAGCAGATTCCCATGGACAAGCAGGCCCAGAAGCCTCACAGAGGCCAGTACAGACAGATTCAT